AAAAAAAAAAAAAAAGAAGAAGAATTGGCACAGATAATTCCAAACCAAGGGAAATCTAACAAAACTGGGCTGTATAATTTGCAGCAGAGACAGGATCACCTGCAAGCCTCTCATCTCAACTGTTTAATGTACAGAATTCAAGCAGGTTACCGCGAAAAGCTGTGTTTACACAGTTCAATCTATGTCCTATTGAAAGGGCAGGACCAGGGCATCTGGGTGGCTCAGTCCGTTAAGCGTCTGCCTCTGGCTCAGGTCCTGATAACGGGGTCCTGGGATTGAGCCCCATGTCCGCTCCCTGCTCAGCAAGGAGTCTGCTTCTCCTTCTCGCTCTACCCCTCTCCCTCCCTGCCCCTCTCCCCCACTCCTGCTCGCCCTCTCTCTCTCAAATAAATAAATAAAATCTTAAAAAAAGAAAGAAAGAAAGAAAGGGCAGGACCAACTCTTGGCAAAAATGGGAATGAAATCAATTGAAGTGTCCTCCAGACCTTTTCTTATCATGATATGGCTGTGAACTGAAGGCTTATAATTAGGATTTATTATTGACTCTTCCCTTATGGCAGGAGATGAAAGGCAGTTACCCTATTCCCAGATCTCTCTTCCTGACATCCTCCCCCGATTTCCCCCTCTGACATTTCCTACCAACATCTCTCCCTTTCTGACATCTTACTATCTTCTAGTAGTAAAGAGCTACTCAGACTTGCACTCCTTGGGAAATACTTTAATTTTTTCTTCCAAGTCAGTGTTTCCCAGGGTTTGCTTTGTAAACCACCTGCATTAGAATCAAGAATATGTTTAAAATGCAGTTTCCTGGATCCTACCCCAGACCTACTAACTCAGTCTCTGGGACTAAGAACAAGGAATCTGCATTTTCTTTACAAGCTGGCTAAATGATTTTTATGCACAATGAAATTGTAAACAGTCCCCTGCCCCGCTCTTATGGCCTCAACTGTCTTCGCCAGATGAACAGGGCTGAGCTCACGTCTTACTTACTGTGCGACACTTACTGTGTTGTCCATCTCAGGGATGGTCTAGCATTTTAACTGAAGACAGTCTCTAAGGACTCGTTCTCAATAGGGAAATTTCAGACACGAGAGCAAGATGATTACTGAAATATTCCTTCCCCCTTTCTTTTCCTTTCCTTCAGTTTTACTTGGTGATAGCTTTATTTTCTGCCCTCCTTCAATCTTGGATCCGTTTATAAATACATGTAGCAGTCAGAGAACTATATAGACCACTTTAGATTTATATGTGGTTTAATAACTTCTGGTTAACTAACTCAGTTCTGGGGAAAGCACGTAGTGATCAGACATGAAAACAAATTTCTACATTCCCAAGGGAACCATCTAAGTATTATGGGGGAAAGAAACAAAAAAGATTTCATTGTCAAATAAGTTTGAAGTACAACGAAATTAAAATTGAGCTGTTTCTTTACCACAGACCTTCTCAGAGCCTTTACTATGCTCTTGTACATTTTGAATTTACCAGAGGAGGTTATTTATGCATTATGTCCCAGCTCCTCTTGGAGAGCTCGTGAAGTTGTCTTACTCTGTAGATTACACTTTGGGAAATACTATTCTAGATTTTAGCAAATTGCCTGTCCATCAGTTACACTCATGATATAGCATGTTTCACATTTTCTACGTTCTGAAATTCTTTGGCTGAGTTTGATCTCAGGTAATTACTTGGCTTCTTAGTTCTCCTTGGGGTTTGATTTAAAATTTTAGCAAAATCACCCAAACTAGGTCTTTATTTTCTGTTACTTCAGTAAACTTCAAATTTCAGATCCACATTTTGACTTTTTAAGCATACTATGCAATGTTTTACAAGTACATTTTGCTTCTTTTCGTTTGGGTTGAAAGAACTTTATCTTAAACTGAATATCAGTGTTCCTGTTCTCAGTGTTTATTTAAAAACTTGTCTTCATCATAAACTCATATTTCAACTGTATCCCTTTTATTCCGCCTAGCATTTTGGTATTTGGGGGTAAAAAGCTTTTTGAAACAACATTTGCATGTGTCTCAAATAAACATTTAAATTCACACAGCTTTCAGTTTTTAGAGAACTCATGCTATTTTCACAAATACTTCTTTTCTGTTTCCTTCTTTTAAAAATGCCTTCTCTTATTTTCCCAGAAAGCATTGGACTTTCTTTATTGATAATTTCTTGAATTTCCTTTAAATCTTGAAAGAGTTGAACCATAAAGTACCAGTGGGATAACAATGCATATTTCATCATAAAGACCTAATCAAGATTCAATAAGGCACTGAAGTTTAAAGGTTGAAATTGGAATCATTCCATTCAAATTCATCTTAGAAATCCATTGTTGTATAGATAAAGTAAGATTATAGTTTATGTTTTAATGGACTTTGTTTTCAGCGTCCGCAGAGGTGGGTTGTGATGCCATCTGGGAGAAGGATCTCAATTCACACATTTGCTACCAATTCAACCTGCTTTCCTCTCTTTCCTGGAATGAGGCACATTATTCATGCCAGATGCAAGGAGGAGCTTTACTAAGTATTGCAGATGAGAACGAAGAAAATTTCATAAAGAGTAAGTAGGTGGATGACACACACCAATATTAATGCAATTAAAATGACTGTTAACAGTTATGTCCAGGTATGCAAAAATATATTCTGAAGAAAAAGTCCCTTAGAAAATGTTTTATTTTATTAGTACAGTGCCAACTCACACCCAGAATTGTGACCTGTCCCCTGGGCCATACCATTTGGCACCCGGGCATTTCTTCTTTATTTTCTCTCCCTGGGAGAAGAGAAGTTGAGGCCTCAGCAAGGAACCCAGGACAATTTGCAACTCCAGCAGGTGGATCTGGGATACTTCCAAACTTAAATACAAATCCCTGCTCTGCTGGAGATCTTAGCTATTCAGCTTCCATTAATAAATAATTAAGTCATTTATTAATTAAACAAAATCTCACCTGTCAGTCAATATGCACAGATACATAGACCTTCTCATGGATGACGAAGAACTTAAAATTTGGTTAGAAAAGCAAAAGCACACACATGTTAACTAACAGGATAGGACAATAATATGTCAAAAGAGTTGTGCTAATGGACTGGGTCTTGGGTTTTACCCATCACCTAAACTATCCTCTTATTTCTCCTTTATAGATTAAATGTGTTTGTAGATGTGTACACACAGCTTTTTAAAAATTTTTAGAATCATTTGAAAGTATGGCAAAATTAGTCACTCATTAAAAGTTTCTGACACTTTTTTCAAATTTTATTTCACATGTAGTACATATTTATTCTAGAATAATTTTTAAATTTCAAGTATACAGAAAGAAAAATATCCCATCATTCTACAATCCAGAGATAACCATGTTTTTCTAGAAAAAAACATATAAAGGCATACATACATATATAGTATGTATAAACAATAGTTTTGAATAAATGCATGAATGGCTAGGGGCAGGGACCACAGAACCATCTGCTTGGATTGGACTCCTTCCTCTACCACTTCCCAGCAGAGTGACCTAATCCGTCTGTGCCTCAAATTCCGCTCCCCCATCAAATGGAAATAATAACTGTGCTACTTGTTGGCAGTGTGGATTACATGTTATGATGCAGGCGAAGGAAGCCTTAGAAAAGGGCCTGGCACACATAACAAACACTCATTGTGTATTAACCATTTAACAACTATGCACACAGTTTGATAAGATGCTTATTTCATGTACCAGCATATAATGCACACCTATCCATGTCCATAAATATAGATCTGCATCATAATTTTTAATGGTTACATAGTATTATAGGTTAGGAATAATATATGTACCTAACCTCCTACTATTAGATAGTCTGATAGATAAAAAAATTATTTATTTTGTTTTTATTTATTTGTTGCTATCATAAATCATCCCTGCACTTACCCTTGGGCATAGATCCCCAATTATTTCTCTATAAGTTTGTGGAAGTATATTCACTGGGTGAAAGAGGAAGCACATTTTAAAGCTTTTGAAAGTCATTAATACCTTCCAGAAGGAATATAACAAATGCTTGAACAGCACAGTTTTGCCCCTTTCCCCACAGACATGCAAAAGTAGGAAATTATGATCAAAACTGATTTGAGTGAGTCATACTGCAGGAAATCACCAATTTCCAATATCATTATTAGCCTGTAATGGTTTTTACAGAAAATTTTGCATTCCATGTATGAATTATAATTGTTATCTATCTTGACTGTCAGGATTTCTAGTAAGAAGGTTTGGACTTACTCATCAAACTTGAATAATGATGAAAGAAATAAGATATGTCAGAGACTTTGATTTAAATACCACAATTCTATAATTAGACTTCGGGGGATTGTTTAGGGAAACAGAAGTCTATTCATAAAGACAGAACCCTGTTCTGACCAAAGTATTTTTTAATAATGAGAATAGTCTAGTTTCTTTCTAATCGCTGGTGAACATTAATTAACTATGATATAAGGAATTATCTAAGCTGTCACAAATGCCAAGAAATATCCAAAAGAATTTAGGTGTGAGTTTATTATTACAGAATTGTGAGCCAATTTAGTTGTAAAGCTAGATAGATGTTTTTGTAACTTTAAACACAGATTATAAATTACTCAGTGATTTTTATGTGTATTGTTGAAACAACTGCACAGAGAGTATTCAAAACAACTCTAAGATAAGAATAATTATTATTTAAGTATTTTAACTAGGTTATTTGAAGATATCACTTGACACTTGCACTGATATGAAATGTGAAAATTTCTCTATCTTGTCAATCCATCTTCCCTGTCACGTCCTGTCATCATGATACCCATTATATGATTTAATCAGATAGCGTTACTGAAAGGACTAATCGGATCGACATCAGAAAGAGACTCCGTGTAAATGAGGCAGGATCTTGGAAGGGTGGGACCTGTGAATGGTATGCCATTTCTGTTTAGGGATTTCTGGGGTCTCAAAATTATAAAGCCCCCTTTCTTTCCTAAGTGGGATAGGTTCTTCCAGTTTTCCCATATTGTACTGAAATGCTCAATCACAGAGGATGCTGCTGGTTTGTTATGTGAATACACTGATCTTTGTAATCTGGGTGATCCTACAACCAATCATCCAAACTGAGACTCTTTTGAGAGTAAAAGAGGCTGCGATTAGTAATTATGCTGAAACTACCAGCATAAACTATAAGTTTTCCTGGCAAACTGGGACAGTCACCCTATCTATAAGTCTTAACTGTCAGGGCCTCAGTCTCGGGCAGGGCACCTGCAACTGGCTCAAAATATATTGGGTTCTGAAGCAGATGAACCACAAGAGGAAGAGAAAAATGCTCCCTTTTATAGGTTAAAAGATTAAATAGCGACATTTGAAAGTGTCACAAAACTAGTCACTTTCACTACGTTTCTGACACTGTTTTTTTAAAAATTTATTCTATAATAATTTGGGGGAATTTTAAAGGCAGTGCTTTTATTTTTTTAAAGCAAAATAATTGAAATATAATTGTAGACCATAATATACACTGTGTAGATTCTTTTGAAATTATTGTGGCTTTCTTTTTGGCATTGTATATGATCAGTTTGGGTGAGTCCATTCTCTCTTTGGGGAGCCATAATCCCCAAATCCAGAAACATTATTAACATTTTAATTTAGTAGGTTGCATTTTACCCTCAATGTTAATAAAAATCTCTATTTTAAATACTTAAAAAACATCATTTAAACAGCTGTATAATATTTTTTATCCAGTTGGAAAAATAACCATCCCTTTATTTCCATTACATACTTCTCCCTGGTTGGCCTTCTACATGTTGGGCTGACTTTTATTTCTTATGTTTCTTTCTCTTATTCTAGAATCATTTTTTAAAATTCATGTAACAAAAGAAAAACCAAAGAAAAATTTCCCCTAATCCTACAGTTCTGATAACCATGTTTTTCAGTACAAGCATGCCAATGTACATGTTTATACATAGCACCTATAACAAAAATGGGGTTAAATTAAAATGTGTGGAGCTGTGGCCCAGTGGTTTGGAGCAGGGGCCATGGAGGCAGCCTGCCAGAAAGCCTTCTCCCAACCCAGGCTGAAGATGCAACAGAGTATGGCTCCAGCCTGCTATCCATCCCTCTGGATACCCTGGTCCCTTGGATTATGCTTCTCCTCTTGGTCAGACAACTCCTTCTGGCTCTCACACTGGACAGCTCCCTCCCTGCTTGCTTTAGCATACCTTCTTAAATTTGAGGACTTGCCTCCATTCACCAACGATACTTACCTGCTTTTCTCTTCCTTGCCAGATCCCTAAAGAAAAGCTTCTTTACATTGTTCAATTTTTTAACTGTGAAATACTTAAAAAATATTGAAATGTGCAGAAAATTTTATGGGCACATACATATACCCATTATACAGATTAACATCACTTCTTCCTGTTCCACCCTTGCTTGGAGCCTTCAAGCTAAGGCTGCCACCAGGCACACATGCACACAGAGCAAGGGAAGGAAGACAGAGGGGCCCTTTCTGGAGTGGCCTTCCTGGACACGTCCTCCTCTGCTGTCTAAAACCCTTAAGTGCATGAGCTCACACAGATCAGATGGTCTTAAATTTGCAACCATGCAGCCTCGGGAGGATTGGTGATCATTGAGAGGCAGCACTTCCGATGCTTAGATTAAGCACTTCAGAGCTGAAGAATTGCTGTTAGTGAGCCTTTAGGAGCCTGCTGTGTTTCTCAAGATGGCAGAGGCTGACTTTGTTACTCTGAAGCATCAGAGTGGGGTTTAGTAGCACTTAAAACCCTTTGTCATGGACTAGAGTTCACTTATGACTGCATTCACCAGGAATAATAAAACAAGAAAGAAGGGTAACATTGTGGGAGGAGGTTGTTTGCGTGTGTTGACACTCCGTTTTTCTCTTCATTTCAGAGCACTTGGGCAGTGAAGCAGTGGAAATGTGGACAGGTCTGAATCAGCTGGATGAAAACGCTGGCTGGCAGTGGTCTGATAGAACACCGCTCAACTATCTGAACTGGAACCCAGGTACCTGCAGTGCTTCATGTGCTTCGTCGGGTGGCATGATCCTGCCCCCTTACACAACAGCTATTTCCCACGTACATATAAGTCGTGTTATTTCAAAGGGATTTATAATCATCTTTAAGCTTGCCTCAACTCCCATAAGCCTAGCTTTTCCAGACAAGAAAATGGAGGTCAAGAAGGTAAGCTCTTTAGCCAAGGTTGCAGGAGAACTGGGTTGGAGCCAAGACTCCCGTCAGCTGTTCTAAAAATAGCAACAAATGGCAAAATATTTCCTTAAAACAATAAAATCAGCTATTGTTATCTTTGGGAAATCATTTCATTGTCATGTATGGACTTCAACTGCAAAACCACAGATATAATATGACATCTTATAGGGTTTGCCATACATGCCAAAGAGAAGGGCTATCTCCTTGATGCTGAAAACTACATTTATATATATCAAATATATTATATTTGAATAAATAAAATGACATCAATATATATTAAACTGATTTTGCCTCTGACATTAAACACCCACACACACTGTCTTTTCAGAAATAGATTTTGAGCCATTTGTTGAATATCAGTGTGGAACATTTAATTCATTTATGCCAAATGCCTGGAGGAGTCGGGATTGTGAATCCGCCTTGCCTTATATATGTAAAAAATATCTAAACCACACTGATCAAGAAGAGATTGGTAAGTGTTTTTACTTTAAGTTGTTTTTATGAGTTGCTTACTTGTCCCCTCAATATATTCAAATTCCTTTACATTTTTGCTAATAATAATTTAAGGCTAGTTTTTATATCTATATGAATAAATATATGTAAGTAGATAACATCTGTTATTCCAAAGGCACCATGAATTTAACAAATGCATTTGTTAGTTTTTACTAAAATTTTTTTAAAAACCAAAGCAAAATAACCTAGGTGTTGAAAACATTGTCTGCTTCTTTTTTAAAAATTTGCATTCTTAGTTGTTCTGCATGAGATAGACAAGATATGCTTCCTTTTCTATTCTAGTTTTGAGTTTTATTTATGGTTACCTTAGAAATTAAATACAAATTAGAACATAGTTTTATAAAATTCTTTACTTCATTTATCTCCTATCACACTCTGTATCTCTTATTATCCTCCTTGAAATGACATACAAACTTTTATATGCAACAAAGACTTAAATACCACCTAATTACAATCTAATACCTGGAGCCCAATTATTTGTTTTTAAGGTATATTGACTCTTTTTTAGTTTTTGTGGGAATTAATGTCTTAACTCAGAAAGTAGAAATAAAAATATAACCATATTTAAAGAATCATTACCAGCATAATTAAAAACAACTCCAGATTTAAAATAATAAGCTGAATTATTATTTTTAAATATTACTCCATACAACCAGACTTGAACTTTCATTTTCCTTTAAGTGGCTAAGACTAAGGGTATGGTAGAATAGGGGGAAGAAGAAGCATTGTGCCATTTTTTTAACGTGGAGATTTTTTTTCATTATGTCGAGAACGTTCTATCGCTGTTCCTTTCCATCTCTTCCTTCTTCTCTTGTCCATTTCTTCCTTTCTTCCTTGTTTCTTTCTTATGCTTTCCTGCCATCCTTCTTTTCTTCTGTTTTATTTACTCTCTGGATCTACCAGTTGAGGTCCAAAGACCACAAATGAGGGTAATTAAGTTGTTAGTTTGGATTATTTGCTGTTGCTTCAGGTTTAACAAATTCTTTTGATGATCTAGTCCAATGTCTTCAAACTGTGTTTTCAGGATCTCTGGGTTCTTGGCTTGGCTCCACCCTTGGTTCAATCAGAGAAGTTCCTTTTTCACTTTTTTCTTACCCGTAGAGTGAAGTTTAAAGGTTCCATTTTTAAAAGGGGTTCCATGACTATATTATTTAGTTTAAAACCACTGGAATAGATGATACCTAAATGTTCTAACATTCTTGGACTGTGATTCTAATTGCTGTCAGCATCCCAGAGCAATTTTAAAACAATGTCTCATTTCCCAAATAGCCCTGGAGTTGTGTCTAACTAAATTAGTGCTTAAAGTAGGCACTCCGTGTGGTTAACAAAATAAAGTAAAAATGCTAATTACCAGATTGAGGACAAGCTCCCAGAAAGGGAGAACCCAAATTTGACATACACACCACCTCCTTCCCTTCCAGTGCCAAAGCATCATGGTGCTATTTTCCTGTAAGTCTAACCCACTGTCCATATGAACCCAGAGGGACAACACAGACACTCAGACTGACCGAAAAGTGAAAGCTATTTGTCATCTCTGCTCTGGAGGAAGTAACCAGAATTTCAAGCTTTTTTTCAGCTGAGGATAAATATCTACCCCCACCCACATACTGTACATAAAATCTTGGGAATGCCATTTAAACTGTTTTTCATAATACTCCTTTTCCAATGTTAAAAGATTTTTTTAAATGCAGAACTCTAACTGCTGAATTTTACATCTAGCCCTAACTCTTCACTTGGGTTGTATGACCTTTACCAAGTCTCCTTACCTCTTTGTGCCTTAGCTCATCTGTAAAATGAGTCACTGAGATCCATTAGATCCTAGATCTAGATCTAGCTCATATGTTGAATCCTTCTCAGTTCTGAAGATCTAGATGGTTTATATGTTATTGTTTCATACGTCTCTGTTTTTCAAATTTTTAAAGTAATCATATGTTGATCACAATTTATATTAAGGCTAATAAGTAACATTTTAAAAATTGTGGAAAATGACATTGTTTTTTGTTGGTTTAAAAAGAAAAAGGTGCTTGGAAATATTATGCTACCCACTGTGAGCCTGGCTGGAATCCCCACAGTCGTAACTGCTATAAACTTCAGAAAGAAAAAAAGACCTGGAAGGAAGCTTTGCATTCTTGCCAGTCTGATAACAGTACATTGATAAACATTGCTTCATTAGCAGATGTGGAGTTTCTTGTAACCCTCCTTGGAGATGGTAAGTGCCAAATGTCTCTGATTTAAGAGGTATGAAATATAATGTAGTCACTATCTTTATTAGTGGAGTTGAAAAGAAGTTAAGCTATTTAAAAATGATTATGGCACATATATCTCAAGTTTCTAAATAATATTCAGGAATGCAAATTCATTGAATTTTTATAAAATAAATGCTCAGAAATTTTGTAACACCTTACATATACCAGATACATTAGATGTTGGTTTTTTTCTTTTTTTAAGGGCAAAGGTCATTTCCAGAAACTTTTAATAAAAGAACTTAAACCTGCAATTTAGCCTTATGGCCACTACATAGCAGTAGTATGCTGTGGTCATGTAATCTAAGCAATAATGGAATTTCTGAGATAAATAATTGGATTTTAATAACTTTAGCCAGTGAAAATTTATTCAGTTTGGTGGTTTGCAAGCTGTGTGCCACATTCAGAAATTCTGAGCTCCTAAGCCTCCACCCACCTTTTGTCCATCAGAGCAGGTCTCCCCCTATGTCATATATTTGACATAGAATTCTGTTGAAAAAACATTAAAATCACCAAGTTAGAGTAAAAATTTTTTTAATGAAAAAAAAAAATCTCCAGAGTCTACTCTGGTGACCTTTTGAAAGTTAGGTTTTAGTTTAGAGTGAAAACAAAAATCCTTCTCTGTCACTTTTCTCACCTCCTGCATTTGAGATTAAAAGGATCCTGTGGCTGCCTCTGTCTCAATAGGGGCACTTGAACATTTCTCTCAGCCTCCTAGGGTCTTTTCACCTTACCTGGGCTGTCAAACTTTATTTACTTTTCTAGCAGCCCCATTGCTCCCATTTTAATGCTTCTAAGAGTTTCTGCTCCTTTTTTCTCATGGCAAAAAAAAAAGGCAAGAAAAAATATATTGTAAAGGGTTTTTTTTAAAGTGCCCTTTTCCTAATCCAGTTGACCTTCCTATTTTTCCTTTCTCTAAGCAGAGGCAAAACTATACTGTTCAAATCTACTTTTCATATAGTAGCAGGAACTAATTAGAGTCCCAGCAATCTGACTTGCTTTTAAGCTTTGTCCTTGCATTGGCTTGAGATCACATTCTGTCCCACTTCCAAGGTCTGTGTTGAGCAGATGGGGTAGTAGAAAAAGATCTAAGTAGATATTTTATACCAAGAGTTAAACAGGTTTTATTGCGTGAAGGAATAAAGAAGAAATCATTTGTAACAGGCCCAGTGCATTATCTCCTTTGCATATAAGAGGATTCCTGTAATTTACATTTATCTCTTACAGAAAATGCATCAGAAACATGGATTGGTTTGAGCAGCAATAAAATTCCAGTTTCCTTTGAATGGTCTAATGGCTCCTCAGTCACCTTTACTAATTGGCACACACTTGAGCCCCAAATTTTTCCAAATAGAAGCCAGCAATGTGTCTCAGCAGAGCAATCTGTAAGTTGATTTGTTTGTTTAATGCTCACTTTGCTGGACTTGTATTGAGGACCACGTGCATCAGGGACTTGGGCTGTGGCAGAGACCAAGACAGACACAGTCCCTGCTCTTCCTGGGGCATCCATGCTAGGCAGTAAACACGTGCACACAGGAAAAACATGGTAATTATAGTTGTGATGTTAGCTTTGAGGAAATAGGTGACCCGATGGTGAAAAACTTGGGTTGGGGCTGCTACTTCAGACAGGACAGTCAGGAAAGGCTCTCTGAGGAGGTGACGTTTAAGCTGGGACTTAGGAAAAAAAAAAACAAAAACTCTTGAGACGCAGGGGAAGAACATTCTAGACAGGGGACAATAGCTAGTATAAAAGTCCAAAGGAAGGCTAAGGTTTGCCATGTTTAATAATCAAAAAGAAGACCAGTGTGGCTTGAAAGTAGAACTGATGAGGGGATTATAGGAGAGAGGGCAGGAGGAATTGAAAAATGTGAGGCTTATAGCCCTGGTATAGAATGACAAAAGGGGCTTCAAGGAGATGAAGGGCATGGTTTGATTTACATTTTAAAAAGTAACTGTGGCTGCTACCTAGAGAATAGATAAGAGAGAGGAAAAATGGAAGCAGAGAAATCAGTTTGGAGGCTACTCCAGTGTTAAATTCGGGTAGTGAATATAGAAACAAGCAGATAAATTCAAAGATCCTTTGTAGGGTAGAAACTGTTGCTAGATTAGATGTGGGGTGAGCACAGGGTAGGTGTTTGGCTTGAGCAACCTCTGTGTTTGTGGATGATGGTGTCATTGACCTCTATGGTGAAGATGTGAGGAGAAGATCTGAAGTGTCAGGAAATTACTCTAGAGACTGATGGCTTTTACGCTCCATTATCCTATTAACATAAAAGGATTTCTACAATGTGTGTAACCCCATTGAAAACTGTGACTCAATGGAAAATCTTGTTCTTTTCCTTATGTGTATGTAATGGTCCCAGTGGTCTTAACATCACATTTATCTCTACGCTCTAGTCTTTCATATATCTAAAACATCTGATTAGATTACACAAAATTAGTTTAATCCCAAGTCATTTGATGCATTTATTATACCTTAGACTAGACTTAATCTCTTTGATCAGATAGCTACTAAACTCACTGGTTGAGTTGTAAATCATTAGGATTTGGTAGGCATTCTCACTCTTATCACCAGGATACCATGTTAAGTGCAGTTTATTAAATGTTACTTAAGTAGCTTGACAAAGTAATTGTGCCATCCAAACTTAGAAAATTTCTAAGCACTTACTTTTATGGCACCTCACTTTCATTGTATTATCTTTGAGGCTGTTATAGATATGCTCAGTTACAATTTAAATGCTAAGGTAGTTCTCAAGTCACATTTGAAGGGGGATAAACAATGACCTCTCTAAATGTTTGTCTTGGGTCTAACTGTGGAAAGCCATCACCGTTTATTCTACAATATTTGATGCTTTATTGGTTCATTGGTTTTGAGATAATTAAGATGACCTTCATTTCCTACTGACACTCTCCTTTTTCGTTTGACAGACACCGGTATTTCACTTAGCATGTCCACAGAACAGGAGCCAACATTTGGACAGGAAAATTATATTTAAGAGAGTAAGGACAGGTATTAATATTACAGGATGTGTCAGAACAATGCTGATTTTTGTGTCCCCCTTTCTGGAAGCTCAGTAGCTCCTTAAATAGTGGATGCGTAAAAAGTAACATTTATTCCCATGAAGTAGAGCTCAATATGAATATAATTATTATAATTAACAAGTTACCTAAGCATGGTTGATGCCTAATTTGAATATGAGAGCCTAGGAAAATGTTTATTCATTCATCCATCCATCCAATTATTATTAAGCAACTACAGTATGCCTGACACTATCCTTTAACGGGGTGGTTTGCTGGAAGACTCCAGGGGGGAGGGCTCCAGAGCTGCTCTTACAGATGAAGGTGTCAGCCTCCTATACAGTATTCATATTCCCCTAAAACCCTGCTTGCCTGAGATACCACTTAAAATTTGAATTGTGAGCCTTTTGGCCTAAAGGTCTGATTTGTGTTGAAATAACAAATCCTTTGGGAAGATAAAATTTTAATCTGTTAGCAGTTATTGTATTTCATTATTAATGTAGGATGTTAGAGCAGCCGTCTGTAGAACTAGAAGACGTGAAAGTATCCGCCTGTCATATAAAGAAGAAATGGAGTGGGACTTTGGAAAATTAGTAATAAAGAAGGACATTGTGGCTTGAACACAAAGTTCAGCTATTATAATGTTATCTAGGGTAACTCATGGTAGCTTCCAGGCATTCCCCCAGTATCAGGTTTATGCATGTAAGTAGCAAAGCATTCGATTTTACACTTAGAAGTGATTAAAGAGAGGAAGCGGCATTCTGACTTGGTCACAGGGATAGTTTCATCCAAGTGGCTTTCAAAGTGTGGCCCCCAGACCAACAGCATCAACATCAATTGAAACCTTGTAAGAAATGCAGATTCTCAGGTCCTACCTGACCTATTAAATAAGACACAATGATCATGAGGACCAGTCATCTGTGCTTTCGTAACCCTTCCAGATAATTCTGATGCACAGTAAAGATTGAGAATCACCGCTCTAACCCATCCTTTTAAAGGAAAAATTGAGAGCAGCTAATGTAAATCCAGGCTGAGTCTGATATTAAATCCTAGTTCCAAATTTTACTGACTGTAAGACCTTATGTAAATATTAAACCTAACCTTTCAGATGGGAGTAATAATGCCTACCTCACAGCAATGTTGAGATTATATATGACAATCACCCAACATTAGGCCTAGCACACTATCAAGAAACATTAGTGGCCCCTCCTCTCCTGCCCACCAATCTGGGATTGCGTGTCTTAGAATTGTTGAGAGTCTGGAGGAAGTGGGGCCTCCCACTCCCATGTAGAGAGAATATCAACCCTTCTAAGGACCACACAAAGTCCTGACTCATATACTCCATCCTGAAACACTTACTATTAATCATATTTTTATTCAAAATAACTGATGTTGCCTATCAGCATCAATAATGAAGTGTATTCATTCATCCTTGTAACATTTTTCCACTTAGGAGGGACACTGGAAAGTTAAAAATTGTGAAGAAACACTTTTTTACATTTGTAAGAAAGCAGGCCATGTCCCTTCTGACACTGAATCAGGCTGTCGAGAGGTAAGTGCTGTTAACATTGTGTTTAGTGTAGTGACTTCATAACTAGAATAATTTATGCAACAGCAATTTTAAAGTGAATCTCTCTCCCTCTCACACTTGCCTTTGCTCCTTCCTCCCTCTTTCCCCTCCCTCCTTATCTCTCTTCCTTCTTTCTTTCCTTCCCTCTTTTTTTTTCTGACCTTGGGCTGCTTTTAGCAAACCAAGCAATTATCAGCTAGGGGCATATGAAGGATTTACAGCTCTGAGAAGGATCGTTGCTTCTTTGACCTAAACTACTTTTCTTTTGAAATTAGAAACATAAATGATCCTGTTATACCATCTGTACAAACAATGACTGCTGTGTGATGCCCTGTCTCACAGGTGAAGACCGGCAGAGTGAAAAGAAACGCATTCCTTTGATGGAGAGTGAACTTTTGCACTCAAGAGTCCTGCCTTCCTTTTCACTATTCTTAAACTTAAATCTTTGAATAGAATACTGGCAAGAAGTGCATGTTTGAAATATATTTATTATTTGGGAAAGAGATAATAAAAAATACTTTCATATTTTAAGTAGTAAACGATTTTTGGTACTTAACATACTTATTTTCAGTACTTAAAGTAATAAAAGATACATTAATACTTTAGGTTTAAAAGTCAAAGGTAGACAGTTATGTTTTAAATTTCTTCAAATACATTCAATATCCTGCAGTAAAGTTCTCAACACATGCATTCTCTCTCTCTTTCTCCCTCTCTTTCTTTCTCATCCCCGCCCCCCCACACACACACACTAAAGAATTTGGGTTTAAATATTGGAAATTTGTATGCATCTCAAAAATTTCCCAAAGCTGGCTTTTTATGCAATTCTTTATTTTTCTTCTAATCCAGTTATTTATGTTTCAATGAAGTGATGACCCATCTCTCCAAGATACTGCAATTTATTCATTAGTCAGTGTGTAAACGTATGAATTACTCTTCATCCTCTAGGTCAATAATACCTGTGTCATAGCTAACATGCTACCAAACATTGTATCTAATGACTACAGTTCCTGAATTACTTAGAGCTGATTACTGATCTAATCCCTATCTGACAAGAAATACTGAAAAAAAAAAAGTATGTCTTACTGTGATTTTCAAGGCAACTCAACATGTTGTATTTGTGTTGAAAAGGAAATTAACTCCTTACACAGCAGAAATAGAACTGATGTTCTATTCAAACTTTTGTACACTGCTTCCCTTTTCTGGCTAGCATTACCAGTATTTAAAGTTCAGAGTAAATTTGGAGTTCAGAGCCAGTTCTCTAACTTTGTGATGAAAGTCCCATTAATTTCTTTATGTATCAATCCGTGAATATGGTTTCAAAAGTTTCCTTCCCTTTAGCCAACTGCTTCAGTGCACTTCTCTAAACAGTTTGTACATGCAAAACCAACTTATATAATATTTCTCACAGGGGCGCCTGGGTCGCTCAGTCGTTAAGCGTCTGCCTTCGGCTCAGGTCATGATCCCAGGGTCCTGGGATCGAGCCTCACGTTGGGCTCTCTGCTCAGCAAGGAGTCTGCTTCTCCCTCTCCCTCCTCCTGCCACTAGCACTGCCTGTGCTCTCTCTGTCAAATAAATGAATAAAACATTAAAACAAAACAAAAAATTAAATAAAATATTTCTCCCACAGCACACAAAAATAAACTCAAAATGGATTAAAGACCTAAATGTGAGACCCAGAACCTTTAAATCCTAGAAGAGAAAAAGGTAGTAATTTCTCTCACATTGGCAGTAGAAACATTTTTCTAGATATGTCTCCTAAGGCAAAGGAAACAAAATTAGAAATAAACTATTAGGACTACATCAAAATAAAAACCTTTTGCACAGTGAAAGAAGCTATCAATAAAACAAAAAGGCAACCTACTGAGTGGGAGAAGGTATTTGCAAATGGTATATCCAATAAGAAGTTAATATGCAAGAACCTCAAAAGTCAACACCTAAAAAATCCCCAAATAATCCAATTAAAAATGGACAGAGGACCCCAACAGACATTTTTCCAAAGAGGACATACAGATGGCCACCAAACACATGAAAAGATCCTCAACATCACTCATCATCAGGGACATGCAAATCAAAACCACAATGAGATATCACCTTACACCTGTCAGAATCTCTAAAATCAACAATACAAGAAATAGTAAGTGTTGGTGAAGATGTGGAAAAAAAGGAATCTTTATGCACTCAAGCACTGTTGGTGGGAATGCAAACTGGCACAGCCACTTGGAAGACAGTATGGAGGTTCCTCAAAAATTAAAAATAGAAATACCATGTGATCCAATAATTCCATTACTGGGTATTTCCAAAGAAAGCAAAAATATTAACTTGAAAGGATATATGCACCTCTATGTTTATTGCAACATTATCTACAATAGCCAAGATATGGAAGCAACCTGAGTGTCTATTAATAGATGAATGGATAAGGAAGATGTGGTGTATGCATACACACCCCCAATACACGCAGAGAGGAATACTACACAACCATAAAAAAGGATGAGATTGTGTCATTTGCACTAACATGAAAAGGACCTACAGAGTATAATGCTAAGTGAAGTAAGTCTGAGAAAGGCAAATACCATATGATTTCACTTATATGTGGAATCTAAAAAAACAAATGAATAAACAAACAAAAAGCAGAATCAGACCTATGAATATATAGAACAAACTAGATGGTTGCCTGCGGGGGTGACGGGGCAGTGTTGGGCAAAATGAGTGAAGGTTAGTGGGAAATACAGCCTTCCAGTTATGGAATGAATAAGTCACAGGAATGAAAGGCACTACATAAAGGGGGGGGGAATTTTTTGATAATTTCAAAGCAAAAAAAAAAAAAGACTTTTTTCCCTCTGAGTTAGTTTTTTGGGATTGTATAATATGAGCAATTGTTTCAGTACTGTCATCATCATCATTTAAAATGAAATGGCGCCTCACGTACAAAAGCTATTCACAGATACAGTCAATTATTCTTCCCACTTTCATTGTATGGACAAAGGCTTGTAGTAAAGAGTCTTTGTCTTTCTGATTATTACTATGCCACATCCCTCCCCCTGCCACTTTTCTTGAGCCTGTTCAGTTCTCGGATTTTTTATTTTACTAAGCAGCCTGTGATCTGAAAACTACTAATGAAGAAGGAATACTTTGTTAGAAAGGTCAAATTGTCAGCCTTCCTCCGCCTGTCCTTCCGGATAGAAAAGCCGTCTAACCTCCCACCCCATCTAGAGTGATCCAGGGGTTTCTGGCTGGAGCTGTCAATTACTCACATAGATAAGATTATGGGGAGAGGTTAAGGGAGTGAGTTCAGAGCACATCCTGGCTGGCTGGATGTGGAACTCCTGTGATCCACACCTCATTTAATAATATGTTTTGAACTAAAATTGCTGAGTTCTAAAATAAGGTTTTCTTTAATTTACTGCAAGACTGAGACCTTTTATAAGAAATATAGCAGAAATCATTTTATATCTGATCAAAATCTGTCAAGTATTGGCAAGACACAGAATAAAGTGTATTTTAAATCTCGTGAATACAAAAAAAACCCTGGTGAATACATAAAAATAGATGTAAGTGATGTGATTTTATAATACTGGAAGGGGACTAAAATAACTCAGTTTAAATATAGAAGACTAGTGAATGCATGTCTCCTGCAGTATATGATTTTAAAGAACAGAGCCACCCCTCATTGCTCTCAGGGCGGAGCCATGGAGCTACGCATTTATTATTTTTGTTTAAATGCCAAAGCTTGCTCTCTTTCTCTCAAAGGAGAGCCAGTTGATTGATTTAGGAATAATTTATATATATTTTAGCCAGTTTCTATTTGGAAATATTATGATCTAGCTAAGACCATCATGGATTACACCAGAATTGGGTTCCAGGACAGCTTGTCCACTAGCTTATGACTTTATCCAGATCTCTAACCTCAGTGAAACTTAGTGGGGTAACATGAAATATGTAATATGAAAGAAAGTTGAAAAAAACATACACTATTATCTAGATACATATGTCCTCTTTGCTCATATTGAGTTCCTGGCTCTATTTAAGGTCTCTGCCTGCACTGTCTCCCTTTCATTCTGAACAACTCCGTGGATACTATTATTATCTTCATTTTACAGAGGAGAAAATTCAGACATTTAGAGACTAAATAAAGTTCACAGTAGTAGAGCCAGTATTCAAACCCAGGCATTCTGCCTTCAAAGCCAACACTCTTAACTTCTACCATCCTGCAGGAACCATTGGTATGAAATTTTGTAAGTCTGAGCAGAGACAGAGAAAGAGAGAGATCTTGAGTGAGTGCCCCTTTGTTTTCATCTGTTTTAGGTTTTAAGATTTCAGATTAATTAAAACGTTTAGGTTTTAATCATTAATTAAATAAATATAGACGTGGCTGTAGCTAATGGCATTACCAGGTAGGATACATACAAAGATTTCAAGACAAAAATTCAAGTTTTGACTTTTGAGTGAGAATACACAAAAAAAATGTTTTGCTGTTTAAATCAGATTATGTCCTTAATTTTCTATTTCCTTTTTTAAGGGATGGGAGAGACATGGTGGATTCTGTTACAAAATTGACACTGTTCTTCGAAGTTTTGACCATGCCTCCAGTGGTTATTACTGTCCTCCTGCACTTGTAACCATTACAAATAGGTAAGATAGAAATTTTCTATCAGAAACATGACTGTACTTTTTTGACAAGAGGGCTCCTGGGATGGTAAAATCTAGCCATAATCAGTAACTTGTCAAAATCGAAAGTGTACTGTACATTAGAGTATTAAATTATTTAAATTATTGATCGAGATGAATTTAAATCATACACCGTTATTCTTAAATCAATTTTTGAGTAACAAAGAGAAAATTTAAGATGACTTTTATGTTCCATAAAGATATATTAATTATTTAGCTTTGTTAATGTATTCAATTGTATTTAGATTTTATCTAAAGGTTTGTAATGGAAACGAAGTATGCTATTTAAAAATTTAAAAATTAAGTATGTTTTTAATGTAATGTGTGTGAGTTATGTGGGTTTTTTTTTTAAACGAAAGTATAGCTAAACTGTGGAGGATTTTCAAATGCTTCCCCATTGCTTCTTAGCTCTATATTTGCTTAGATGTAGACTTCTCTGTGCACAGGTGTCTTCTTCATACTAACAGAGAAACTGTGTCCTTTTGACACTCCACAGAATTTGCAACATGCTATAGATTTGTAATAGGGAATAAAAGTACCAACAGCGGAAGTGACCTCAGTGTCACTGTCAATGCCAAGAGAACAATGAGGGCTGGGAAACCGACTCCTCCAAGCTGAAGACAGAAACAAGGTAGAATCCTTCAGTGGTTGCATGGGAACTTGTACCTGCAAAGCTAGTCACTTGCTTTTTTACTGAGGCCATTGCCTTTAAAAATATCCACTGAAGATCAGGAAACAAGACAATTGACACTGTGGTTTTATGTAGAGACTCTTCACACATAGGTCTAATCTGTAGGAGGAATTACTGCTTTCTCTGCTCTCCTCACAGAGGAAGTCAACATTCAAAGGCACCAGTATTTCCTTCCTCCTCTTACCTCTCACTTTCTTTCCCAGTCTTTCCTTCAAACCATGCACAGAATGCGTACACACACATGCACGCGCACACACACGCACACACACACACCCACGACTGGATTGGCAGCAGTTGGCAAAATAAATTGCCTAGTGAGATATTTTGTGCTCAGGAGACCCTTCTTTCAGGAATAGCACCACCCTTGATGTATCTCAGTGTTATTTTTTGGTTCCACCTTCCTTCTTCCCAGCTGCCAGGCAGAAGGAAGCCTTTATCTTCAACTTGCCCACCCACCCAAAATGTTTCAAGAACACCTTGGGTTAGAAATCCTCCAGTAAGTGAGCCAACATTGGGCTTTATTCAGGAGTCTGATCAATGAAGCTATGCTCTTTTGTTAATTATAACTTAATTATGTTTTTCACTGAAGAAAATAAGTGTAATTGTTTCACCTGTTTCTTATGTCTTATTCTTTCTTTTCTTTTTTTTGTGTAATATTCACTGAATACCTGTCACATACCTGGCACTGTGTTAATTACTTTTCATATGCTCTCTGACAATGCAAAAAGCCAATAGTCAAGCATTTATTAGAAAATTATTTATTAAATATCTATATTGTGAGAGGCACCATATCAAACACTGGCATGCTGTACAAAAGAAATAAAAGGCCTGGTGTAATTGTCCGGGTGCCACTTGCAGGCCAGCAGCTGAAGAGATAGAACATAGAAATATGAAACAAGTGAAGAAAGTGGAAGAACACAATAAATGGAAAATTCAAAGTGACACTACAGAGATGCCTGGGTGGCTCAGTCAGTTAAGCGTCTGCCTTCAGCTCGGGTCATGATCCCAGGGTGCTGGGATCGAGTTCCACATCGGGCTCCTTGCTCAGCAGGGAGCTTGCTTCTCACTCTGCCTGCCGTTCCCCCTGCTTGTGCACTCTCTCTCTCTTTCTGACAAAAACAAAAAACAAAACAACAAAGTGACATTACAGATAACCTATAATGCCACAGTGATCCAAGTAAGGCAGAAATCAGCGTTCAAAGTCTTCATTTTCTAAGAATGGAGATCTCCTACAAATAACGGAAAGTGTCTGGAAAAAAAAAAATCTCCTTGGTTCCATTTCCTCCAAAACTGGATCTAAGAGTATGTTATAAATGATTTGTTTCTTGATAAACTGTATTCAGTAGCCAATACTAATATGTGGTCTAACTCTAAAGCAGAACTATAGCATCGATAAGTTTGTTGTCATTCCATCCACAACCTCGTATGCCCACCCAGGCGACCTTGTGCTAGTATGCTACTCAATGAACAGTCAAGCTCCTGCAGTGCTCTCCACTAGGCCCAGTGAGGCATCTCTCCCAGACAGTTACCACGCGTGTACATTGCCCTGCAAACACGTCTACACCCAAAGCAGTGACTCCAACACAGGACATGCACGTTGAGGAAAGAAAGGGCCCCGTGCTCTTAATTTTTATTCACACAGACTCCATCAGGTAAGAAACAAAGACCCACACTACACCCCACTCTTTGAGTGACAAGGCACAACAAAATTTTTCAACAGCATCTTTTGTCTGAGAAGGTTGGACAGTAGATGGAAATTCTCCTCAGATCCAGGAGTTTCCACTAGCAGCCTTGGTAATCATTTTCTTCCATTACTGATTTCCTGTTTGCGTTAAGACACTCCTGTCACTCACCAGTGCTCAAGCTTGTAGTTGCTAATTGATTTTCCACTCTTCTGCACAATTGAGGACAGATTTGATGGGCACAATTAGAACCACCTGCTACAAATTACGTATTTCTTTTGTTATCAGGCAACTGCTCCTGGTCTAGGACATTTAACACTTTGTGGAATAGAGAGGGGAAGAAAAACAGACCCTTATTGTGGACTAACAGACTGTTATTTTCTTGCTAACTGTTACAAAATTTTTTCAGGCCTGGACGCTTTACTTCCAGATAGGGCATGACTGCAAAACTTGAGTTCCAGAGTTACCATGGATAATCCTGTAAACGCATATATATCTAAATCTTGAATCAATCAGCCATGGAATATTTGGTATAAAATAATCCAAATGACATTTAATTTTTTGCATTTTGCCAAAAGTAAGAAGTCCTGCAATATCTCATTTTCTCCTAGGTTTAAATATGCATTATTTCCAAGCATTTTTACAGCTCTGCTACTTTCCTGCAACCACCATACCCCCTAAACATTTTTGCAGTTAATTTTTTATTGTGATAAAATATGTAGAACATAAAATTGATCATTATAACCATTTTTAAGTATACAGTTCATTGGCATTAAGTACAGTCATATTATTGCACAGTCATCACCATCATCCATTTCCATAACTTTTTCATCTTCCCAAACTAAAATTCTGTACCCATTAAATGATAACTCCCCATTTTCCCCTGCCCCCAGCTTTGGGCAACCATCATTCTACTTTCTGTCTCTGTGAGGTTAACACATCAATGGAATCATGCAGTTGTGCTATTGTATCTGGCTTATTTCACTTAGTCTAATGTCCTCCAGGTTAATCTATGTTGTAATATGTGTCAAAATTTCCTTCCTTTTTAAGGCTGAATAATATTCTATAATATGTATATATCACATTTTGTTTATCCATTCATACAATGGACATGAGATGCTTCCACCTTTTGACTATTGTGAAAAATGCTGCTATGAACATGAATGTACAAATATCTTTCAAGGCCCTGGTTTCAATTCTTTTGAGTAACATACCCAGAAGTGGAATTTCTGGATGATATGATAATTCTATTTTTAATTTTTTGAGGAACAGCCATACTGTTTTCCATATCGGCAGCACCATTTTACATTCCCACCAGCAGTGCTCAGGAGTTCCAATTCCTCCACATCCTAGCCAACTTGTTATGTTTTTTTTATATAATAGCCATCCTAATGGGTATGAAATGGTATCTTATTGTGGTTTCAACTTGCACTTCCCTAATGACTAGTGATATTGAGTGTCTTTTCATGTGCTTTTGGCATTTGTATATCTTCTTTGGAGAAATGTCTATTCAAGTCCTTTACCTATTTTTTAATTGGAGTGTTTATTCTTTGTTGTTGAGTTCTAGTAGTTCTTCATATAGTCTGGATATTAATCCATAAACACAATTTGCAAATACGAATGTATTTCCTACTTGCAAATACGAATGTATCTCCTATTCCGTGGGTTGCTTTTTCACTCTGTTGATGTCCTTTGATGCACAAAGTTTTAAATTTTGGTTAAGTCCACTTTATCCATTCTTATTTTGTTGCCTGTACTTTTGGTGACATATCCAAGAAATCATTGCCACATTCAGTGTCATGAAAAATTTCCCCTGTGTTTTTTTCCTAAGAGTTTTATAATTTTAGCTCTTGCGTTTAGGTCTTTGATCCACTTTCAGTTAATTTTTGTAACTGGTATAAAGAAAGAAGAGTCCAAATGTATTCTTCTGCAGGTGGATATCCAATTTTCCTAACATCATTGTTGAAAAGACTGTCCTTTTCCCATTGAACAGTCTTGGCACACTTGTGGAAAATCATTTGACCATATATGCAAGTGTTTTTATTTTTGGGTTCTCTATTCTATTCTATTAATCTGTATCTGTCTTTATGCTGGTACCACACATTTTTTGATCATTGTACTTTCAGTAAGTTTTGAATCGAGAAGTGTGAGACCAACTTTGTTCTTTTTCATGTTTGTCTTTCCTATTCAGGATCCCTTGAAATTCCATATGAATTTTAAGGTGGATTTTTCTATTTCTGCAAAAGACATCATTGGGATTTTGACATAGACTGCATTCAATCTGTAGATCACTTTGGGTAGTATGGACATTTAAACAATTAATCTATGACATTTTAATCTATGAACATGGGATGTATTTCATATGTTTGGGTCTTCTTTAATTTCTTTCAGCAGTGTGTTATAGTTTTCAGTGTACAAGTCTTTCGCCTCCTTGGTTAGATTTATTCTCAACTATATTTTTTTATTTTTGATGCTGTTATATATTGAATTGTCTTTGTAGTTTCCTTTTCAGATTCTTATTAGTTAGTATATAGAAATGCAACTGATTTTTGTGTGTTGACTTTGCATCCTGAGCTTTGCCTAAGTTACTAGTTCTAACACTTTTTTAATAGAATTCAGTTTTCTTCTTCTTTTTATTTTATATATTTTTTAAAGATTTATTTATTTATTTGAGAGAGACAGAGAGAGAGAGCACACACGAGTTGGGGGAGGGGCAAAGGGAGAGAATCTTCAAGCAGACTCCCCACTAAATGCGGAGCCTTACAACCTGAGGCTCAGTCCCACTACCCATGAGATCATGACCTGAGCCGAAACCAAGAGTTGGACACTCAACCAACTGAGCCACCCAGGCACCCCTAACTTTCTTTTTTTTTTAAAGAAGATTTTTATTTATTTATTTGACAGAGAGAGACACAGCGAGAGAGGGAACACAAGCAGGGGGAGTGAGAGAGGGAGAAGCAGGCTTCCTGCTGAGCAGGGAGCCCGATGTGGGGCTCGATCTCAGGACCCTGGGATCATGACATGAGCCAAAGGCAGATGCTTACGGACTGGCAGGCGCCCCCCTAACTTTCTTTTTAAAAACATACTTTAGTTAATCTCTTTAAAATTATGCAATAAAAACATTCTCATTGGTATAAATTCAAGCAAGCCAAAAGAATATAAACCAGAAGTGAAAGTGTCCTCTCACCTCCATTCCTCCTCCCTCCCACATCTCTCCCATTAACAGTTAACAAAGGTAACTGCCATTAACAGTTTGGAATTTGTTCTTCCAGGTTTATTTCTTGTGTGTATGTTAAGTATCTTTTCTAAATCTATATTTCTCTTCTAGTCTTTTGCAATAAACAATAGCCAAAAACTTAATATTTCTAGTTCTTGAGGAAAGCCACCAAAAACTTCTTATGTAGTAATAATCATGATGCATTCTCCCATTTTAAAACTACTGATATTCTATTTTTATTCTTTATTTAAAAGAAGGAGGAAGAAATTTATCATTTTGTATTCATTCAGCAATAGAGTCAGTTATTTGAATATGGTATTAAAAATGTTAACAATTATGTTATTAAAAGAAATCCCAGGGGCGCCTGGGTGGCTCAGATGGTTAAGCATCTGCCTTCGGCTCAGGTCATGATCCTGGAGTCCCGGGATCGAGTCCCGCATCGGGCTCCCTGCTAGGCGGGGAGTCTGCTTCTCCCTCTGCCGCTGCCTCTCTATCTCTCTCTCTGACTCTCATGAATAAATAAATAAAACAAACAAACAAAAATTAAAAAAAAAAAAGAAATCCCATTGCAATTATTCAGCTCAAAGTTGAATACCTCCTAACTGGATCACTATGTGTAAAACTACCACAATTTTTTTTAATTGAAATAAGCTCTCTAGTGAAGCTACATCCAGTTCATTACTTTTTTTCAATCTCTTGTTTTAGGTAATACAAACATAATCATTAAGTACTGCTGTCAGCTAAGTGTTGTGTTACAGACAAGAAACATCTTTTTTTTCTTTCAGCTACATTCGTCACTGGCTAAACAGATGAAGAAATATGTTCAGTTAGAGATTCAAATACACAATATCTCCTTTTGAAGTGTGCATTTTTTGAAATGCAAAATTTATTTTGAAATGAAAAAATTTGTCAATGTATCCCAAAAATAATGTATTGCTGCCTTCAAATTACACTTTTAAAATTAAAATGTAATGTTTAGCACCATGAGTAACAATTTCTCATCAAACTGATGGAAATTCAAGATATATTTTTCTTATTTACACTGAAAATGCACATTTGATTTCTTAACTTTTTTAAGGAGTTGATTGGAAAAAAATTTTTTTCTACAAGTAGTTAAACGTATGCAAAGTATTTGTTTATTTCATTTGTTTTTCTAAAAAATAACAATTTTTACTTTACGGAATTCCTTAGATATAATATGTTATTCTGGTTCAAATAATAATATAAAAACATGTACATATGGTTACTTTTTGCTCCTTAAGTCACAAAACATTTGAATTATATAATCCAGTGAAACGAGACAAAAAGACCAAATATAAAAAAAACTCTGGAATATTCTCAAATGAAGAATTCTAAACACAAGGCCGGAAAAGACCTTAAAAGATCATCTGCTCTATTACTGTGAGCCAGAGTTTTCAGAGTTTTTTTTAAGTGTTTGGAACCAAATAGTGAGTATAAAATGTCCTCTTGTTTCTTTATCTGTTGAAAACAGACACTCAAAAGGCTGCATGCTGTGATCTAGAATTAAGTTCTTAGAATATATGATTTAAAAGAAAGACATATTAGCTGAATTTCTTTATTAACAATGATATCTTCTAAACTGTACCAAGAAAACTAGAGTCCTGATTTGAAGGTTTTAGGACCTAATGTATGCATATTATAAGCAACTACTTAAAAGATACTTGCCAATTTAAGAAGCACAAGGTTTCTATTGTTTTAAGCAATCATTAATAGTGATAAAATAACAAATCAGTGTGACTAAAGAAATCTAAAACCAACAGGGAACAAAAGCAAAATGTTGTCATGAATAATGATATCAGTGGCCAAGTTCACAGACAATGTTTTCTCTCCATTAGCCAATAAATGCCACAGTACAAGGTAATGGAAGAACCAGCAATGTCTCCTGGGTTTAGAACCAGCACAGTGATGGTGGTCTGGACGTAGCTTCCAGGATGTAGTGCCTTGCTGGTCTCCTAAGACAGTAGTTAAAGGCACTGGATGGGCATGATAACAATGCTACTGAGCCTAAGAGGGGAGAAGGAAAAGCAGATCCTAAATTATGAGAGCATGAACCACTGGAAGCATAAGGAAAATTACAATAGCATCTAGACAATGTTTAGTTTTATGTACTTTCCTTTTGAAGCATATTTACATAAAATTCTGCCACTGTAATCTAGTTAAAAAGAACTTTTCTAATTTCAAATGTGTGCTATTTCGATTATTAATAGAGTACAGAAAATATTTACTAAAGCATAATAAAAATCCATATGCTCTGCAAAGATGAGTATCATGGATGCCTAAGATCACTAAATGTTGGTAGTGATGTTCATAAGGCAGTTAAAAATTTTACTTCTTTGTGTTCTTTCCTCTCCTCCCCCCCCCCATTTCCTTTGACCCCATTGCTTTTGTTTCCCTTAGCAACTTAAGGATGCCTGATAATGAAACAATTCCAGAATTGGATGAAAAAGTCTAATTTGCCTTCCTAGGTTTCCTAGGTAATTTCATCAGGCCTACCCTTTCTCATTGACTCAACAGTTCTGGCCAAAGTCACCACTGTTTGAAATGTGTTTCCTCAAAACTTCAGACACATTGAAAATAAATTTTTCAAGATAGTTTACAACTTAGCCTAAAATTTCAATGCTACTTAAATTTTAATACTCACATTTTTCTATTAGATATTCATGTGGAAGCATATATACAAATTTTCCAGATTCCACTTTTGCTGCATTCATGTTGGGAAAGGAACGCTGCCACCAATCAATGAACACTAATTCATTCAGCTGTGTGGGGAAAATATGAGTGGGTGTACATCCTTGGATTAGTTCCTAGGGTTTTACATTTATCTTCAGTGAATGTGCACATCTGAACACATTTGAAAAAGCCAAGGACTCCATGTGCTTGTGAACAAACCGATTTGGGAGACATAAAATTGCTACTCCAATCTCGGTTCTCTTATCACCAGGCAAGTGTGGTGGATGGGTACATGTGAACTCCATGTTGGCAATGTTCATTCCCCCTGCCCACTGCCGGGTCCCCCTGGCACACATTATGGCAAGGTATGTGCTATGTGGCCTAATTACAAAATAGGGCACATGTTGTGCCAAGAAATATATTGCTAGCTTGATGGACTTTACCACCTCTACTCTGAAAGTGGAGCTGGACTCTATCCTTGAAAGAAGTAAGCCTTGTCTCTGAGACTCAAATTCTCCTCACTCATCTATTTCTAGGAATTGCACGGACATTTGGCATGTATTAGTAATGTTCGGCGTCTTTGAGTGTTTTTCTGCTCCATGTTCTGAAGAATTCATCAGAAAGGCTTACTCTGGTGCCATTCTGTGCACCTCGTTATGCTTTAATGACATTTGTTTATTGCCCAGAAACTTGCTATAACCATTTCCTCTTTCCGTTTTTAAGGTTTGAACAGGCTTTTATTACCAGTTTGATCAGTAGTGTGGTAAAAACGAAGGACAGTTATTTCTGGATAGCGCTACAAGATCAAAATGATACAGGAGAATACACTTGGAAGACGGCGGGGGGGCAGAAGTCCGAGCCAGTGCAGTACACACACTGGAATGCACATCAGCCTCGTGAGTAGAGGGGACTGTAATACCCCTTCTCCCAAATCCCTTCCACCGCATGGTCCACCTCCTTCCGTGCTTCCTTGATGTTTTCTTTTTTTCTTTTTTTTTTTTTTAAAGATTTTATTTATTTATTTGAGAGAGAGAGAGAGAATGAGACAGAGAGCACGAGAGGGAAGAGGGCAGAGGGAGAAGCAGACCCCCCGCCGAGCAGGGAGCCCGATGCGGGGCTCGATGCGGGGCTCGATGCGGGGCTCGATGCGGCACTCGATCCCGGGACTCCAGCATCATGACCTGAGCCGAAGGCAGTCGCTCAACCGACTGAGCCACCCAGGCGCCCTTCCTTGATGTTTTCTTAATGCCTAAATCAACTAAAACAATTACCAGAGGTTCGCAGGGGGTGACATATGGCTGATCATTTTTTAAAGTATAAAGCATGTAACATTGACAGGTTCAAGGTTTAAAATTATTGCTCATGACCACGTATGCCTTTATTAGCAGGAAGTCCAGTTTCTTCCTCCTCAAGTCTTTTCCCCATCTCCCCCTCATTGTCAAAGAATCTCAGGGGCTTACTGCATCCAGAATAGTCTGTTATTCTTTGAAGCACTGTGAATGGGCACATATGGGCACCTCTTATCAGTCCACAGTCACTGCCACCTTGCTGTGGAATACTGACCCATTACTTAGATAACATTCTTATTAATCCATCTCCTCCGTGGACATCTGTGGTAATTTAGCCAGGATTTCAGAGTTAGAGCTCTATTAGTTCACTCTCATAACCTCAGCTCTGGATCCCACAACATGAAACTGTGCCAGGTTAGTTAGCTCCAGAGAAAATAATGGCTTCAGCCACAACTACACTAGACCAAGCCTCTGTGGAACAAGCTTTAGGTCCTTAGGTCACCAACCTAGACTCGACACCCCTTTACCTCAGCATGAGTTCCTATTTGGATACCTTGCTCCCTTTTTTACTTGTGGGTCTCAATCAGGGCTACCCCAAGAAATGATAGGCAATAGGTTACCTCTAAATTTGTTTCTGGAGGAAATGGGTTAGGGGGCCTCAGGCTTTTCTCTGAGGAAAGATAGATATTATTATAATACTATCAAAATAATTTTCATATATCAAATATGTAATAATAATTAGCCAAAGGACTAAATATACCAATTAAAAGGCAGAGATTGTCAGAGCGGATCAAAACACAAGACCCAACTGTTTGTTGACTGCAAGAAAACACACTTTAAACATAAAGACACATGTAGATTAAAAGTAAAAGGGTAGAGAAAGATATACAATGCAAATACTAATCAAAAGAAAGCAGGAATAGCTGTATTAATTTCATAGAGCAGACTTCAGAACAAGGAAAGTTTTCAGGGATTAAAAAAAGGGACATTACATAATGTTAAAGGAGTCACTACTCTAAGAAGACATAACAGTCCTTTATATGTATGTGCTTAACAGCAGAGTGTCGAAATACATGAGAAAAAAACTGATAGAGCAGTTTTGGATAGCTCCAGGAGAGATAGATGAAGAAGAAATAGGAGAAATAGATGAAGCTACTATTACAGTTGGAGGCTTTAATACCCCTCTATCAGATATCTATAGACTACTTAATCCATCAACAACAAATTACACATTCTTCTCAAGCTCACCTGCAATGTTCACTAAGATAGACCACATTCTGGCCATAAAACACACCTTAACAAATTTAAAAGAATAGAAATCATACCGTGTCTTCTCTCAGGCCACAGTGAAATTAAACTAGAAACCAATAACAGAAAGATAGCTGGAAAATTCCAAAATGCTTAGAGATTCAACAATACATTTCTAAATAACACATGGGTCAAAGAAGAAATCTCAAGAGGAATTTTAAACATTTTAAACTAAATGAAAATACAACTTATCAAAACTTGTAAGATGCAGAGAAAGCAATGTCTAGGGGGAAATTTAAAGCACTGAACACATATATTAGAAAAAAAGAAATATCTAAAATCAACAGTCTAAGCTTCTACCTTAGGAAACTAGAAAAAGAAGAGAAAATTAAATCCAAAGTAGGTCAAAGAAAATAAATAATAAGAATTAGAGCAGAAATCAGTAAAATTGAAAACAGGAACTCAATAAAGAAAATCAATAAAATCAAAAGTTGGTTCTTTGAAAAGATCAATGAAATTGATAACCCTGTAGCAAGACTCACTAAGAAAAGAGAGAAGACACAAATTACTAATATCACAAATAAAATAGGGAGCAGCACTACAGATCCCAGAGACAATAAAAGGGTAATAAAGGAATATTATGAACAACTCTGTATGCACAAATTTGATAACCCAGATGAAAATGACCAATTCCTTTAAAGATACAATCAGCCAAAATTCACACAAGAAGAGATAAACTACTGGAGTAGGCCTATAGCTATTAAAGAAATTGAAACAAAAATTCATAAGCTTTCAAAACAAACCCAGGTCCGCATGGGTTCACTGGTGAATTCTACTAAACACTTAAGGAAGAAATTATGCCAGCTCTCTACAATCTTTTACAGAAAAGAGAGCAGAGGAATACTTACTGTCTCATTCTGAGGGCAGCATTACCCTAATACCAAAATCAGACAAAGACTTTGCAAGAAAAGAAAATTACAGACCAATATCTCTCATGAACAGAGTAGCAAAGATCTTCAATGAAATATTAATAAATTGAATCCAACAATGTAAAAAAGAATTATACACCACAACCAAATGGGATTTATCCCAGTTATGCAAGGATTATTTAACATCTGAAAATCAATTAGTGTAATCCATCACATCAACAGGCTATTTTTAAAGTCACATGATCATATCAATAGATGCAGAAAAACACACATATGACAAAATCCAATGCCTGTTTGTTTTTTTATTTTTATTTATATATATATATATTCTTTAATTAATTTTATTTTATTATGTTAGTTATTATATGTTAGTCACCATACAGTACATCATTAGTTTTTGATGTAATGTTCCATGATTCATTGTTTTCGTATAACACCCAGTGCTCCATGCAATATGTTCCCTCCTTAATACCCATCACTGGGCTAACCCATCCCCCCACTCCCTTCCCCTCTAAAACCCTCAGTTTCTTTCTTGGATTCCATAGTGTCTTATGGTTCATCTCCCCCTCCGACCCCCCCCCTTCATTTTTCCCTTCCTTCTCCTAATGTCCTCCATGCTATTTCTTATGTTCCACAAGTAAGTGAAACCGTATAATTGACTTTCTCTGCTTGACTTATTTCACTTAGCATAATCTCCTCCAGTCCCATCCAATGTTGATGTAAAAGTTGGGTATTCATCTTTCTGATGGCTGAGTAATATTCCATTGTATATATGGACCATATCTTCTTTATCCATTCACCTGTTGAAGGGCATCTCAGCTCCTTCCACAGTTTGGTTATTGCAGACATTGCTGCTATGAACACTGGGGTGCATATGGCCCTTCTTTTCACTACATCTGTGTCTTTGGGATAAATACCCAGTAGGGCAATTGCTGGGTCAGAGGGTACCTCTATTTTTAATTTTTTGAAGAACCTCCACACTGTTTTCCAAAGTGGCTGTACCAACTTGCATTCTCACCAACAGTTTAAGAGGGTTCCCGTTTCTCCCCAACCTCTCCAACATTTGTTGTTTCTTGCTTTTATTTGCTTTTTTTGTCCTATTGCATTAACTAGGACTACTATTACAGTGTTTAAAAGAAGTGTTGAGGGCGCCTGGGTGGCTCAGTTGGTTAAGTGATTGCCTTCGGCTCAGGTCATGATCCTGGAGTCCCAGGATCAAGTCCCGCATCGGGCTCCCTGCTCAGCAGGGAGTCTCCTTCTCCCTCTGACCCTCCCCTCTCTTGTGCTCTCTTTCTCTCTCTCAAATAAATAAATAAAAATCTTCAAAAAAGTAAGTGTTGATAAGGAACAGCCTTGCCTTGTTCCTTGATGTTAGTGGGAAAGCTTTTATTTTTCACCATTAAGTATGATATCTGTGTATGATATGTTTTGTAGATGTTCTTTATAAAGTTGAGGAAGTTCCCTTTTATTCTTAGTTTGCTAACAGTTATTAAAACAAATAGACATTGCAAACTATGGAAAGAGCCAAGATGTCCATCAGCAGATGAGTGGATAAAGAAGATGTGGTATATATATACAATAGAATATTAGCAGCCATCAAAAAAACTGAAATCTTGCCATTTGCAACGACGTGGATGGAACTAGAGGGTATTATGCTAAGTGAAATAAGTCAATCAGAGAAAGACAAGTATCATACAATCTCACTGATATGAGGAATTCTTAATCTCAGGAAACAAACAGGGTTGCTGGAGTGGTGTGGGGGGTGGGAGGGATGGGGTGGCTGGGTGATGGACATTGGGGAGGGTATGTGCTATGGTGAGCGCTGTGAATTGTGTAAGACTGATGAATCACAGACCTGTACCTCTGAAACAAATAATACATTATATGTTTAAAAAAAAAAAAAGGAGATAGTAGGAAGGGAAAAATGAAGGGGGGGCATTGGAGGGGGAGACGAACCATGAGAGACTATGGAATCCGAGAAAGAAACTGAGGGTTTTAGAGGAGAGGGGGCTGGGGGGATGGGTTAGCCCGGTGATGGGTATTAAGGAGGGCACATATTGCATGGAGCACTGGGTGTTACATACGCAAACAATGAATCATGGAACATTACATCAAAAACTAATGATGTACTGTATGGTGACTAACAACATAATAAAATTAAATTAAATTTTAAAAAAGAAAGAAAAAAACAAATAAAAGGTACACAGATTAGAAAGAAAGAAATAAAACTTTCTTCACAGATGACAAGATCATCTACATAAAAAATCAGAAAGAATCAATAAAAGATCCCTTGAACTAATAAGTAATTATAGCAAGATTGCAATATAAAAGATTAATGAACAAAAGTCAGTTGCTTTCTATATAACAGCAATGAACAAGTGGAGTTTAAAATTAAAAACATATTATCATTTACATTAGCACCCCCAAATT